GTTTTTAACTCTCAATTGTTTAAAAAAATCAACGTTTGTTTTTATATTTATGGAGATTCTATTCCTAAAGAAGTAGGGGAACTTATAAAAGGAAAACAGTCTTGCCCTCCATGACTGTTAGAACACAAAAACTGATGGTCTGGTGTGGTCTACGGGGTACACAGATAGTGGGTCTATTCTCCATGAATGGACACATGAAGGCCACTAGATATGTGAAACTGCTACATGATGATGTGTTTCCCTCTTCATACACTGAAGATGATTTTTTTACAGCAAGATGATGKACCACCACATTATAGGTGTCCAAGCATTACTACATGAACAGTTTCCTGGAAAGTGGAGTGGTCAGTGGGCCAAGTGATCAGAAACTTGTACCTCATGGGGGGACCAGTCTTTGGTCCCCATAAAGGCCACTGGTCTTGACCTGGTAGGTGTGTATACCAGAAACTGTGCTGAAAAGGTAACAAATACAAGTACACACAGCCTTGTGTTTGCACCAAACTGAGGACTTTGTATTGGATTCCATTCATTTTTGTAAGTGCATTTATGCCTAACCCAGACATTTCCCCTCTCCCTAACCTTAACCCAAACTTCAATCAACCATACCTCTAAACCTAACTAGTACAGCACAGTAGTAAGGTAGTACTAACTTGCAGTAGTAACTCTCCATATGAGGTGCTCATTAATAGTTCTTCCTTCTATGATGCGTATCAGGCTGAGTTCCTTGAAGTTGAAACTGRTGAAGCCAAAAGCACCATGAAGGCAGAGGATCAACAAATCAATAACAGCTGATTAGACTGTACAGAATTAACTGTCTACGTCCAGCTACAGACCCACAACACAATCACAATATCAGGGTTTCAACAGGCAGATGTGTCTCCAGTCCACTCCTCAAATGATTGTGGAGAAGCTGAGAATATATTGATTCCAATATCCATTTCTCACCAGGGATCAAAACAAATGCAAAGTCACTTAAGAGCTATTGATTGTGGCTTCCAAAGCCAGGCCTGATGAGCCTCATTAGAGCCAGCAGAAACGACCGTGGCTGCCCAACCATCACTTCAGGCCTGGGCAAACACA